AATTATGGTGATGCTGATGATTAATAATGATGATAACGCGGTTATGATAGCAGATTATGATAGCATTGATTGTGATGTTAATGATGATGAAGATGACGATAGTGGTGATAATGGGTATTGTATTTATTTATAGACTATTAATTGTGGGATGTATTTTTCTTTATAAAAACTCAATGTCTAATATTGAAGTATAATTAAGATAAAACAAGGCCTCGTTGATGATGACGACGATGAATGTGATGATGACGACGATGAATGTGATGATGATGATTGTGTGATAGTAAAACAATCCAAGGTTTATAAAAAAAAAGGAATGATGATTTGTGGCAACAATGATAATAACGGTAATGAGTAATAAATTGTTGTTGCCTTCATTTGTGTTAATGTTATGCTTGATACGTGTATGCGTGTGCATGTGCGTGCGTGATCTGTAGTTTGGGGTTTTAGTAAGACATGTGGAATATTCTTTGAAAATTTTTCACTAGTGTGTGAACAAACGAACGAACAATGAATGAACAAACGAATGAACGCATATTAATTCTCGCTATTTACAGATCATATCAGCTGTTCAATATTGCCACCAGAAACACATTCTCCATAGGGATCTTAAGGTTTGTCTAAAAACGTTTCACTCATTTATTTTATTTAACCGTTTTTCATTCATTCATTCATTCATTCATTCATTCATTCATTCATTTATTCATTCGTTCATTCATTCATTCGTCTATTCATCTGTTTATTTATCCATGCATTCAAATAATTCGTTTTCTTATTACTTTTTATTAAAAATGGACCTGGCATATTTAGTTGAAGTTTATAATGAATGCCAACAAATGATGAATCTCCATGAAATGACATCATCGTCCTCTCAGCAATTCTCTCAACAATTAACAGTAGCACATTTTAGAGGCCTACAATTGCAAACATGCACTAAACAGGACCTCATTACATTCTTACCACTTTTTATCTTCATCTCTTCTCAATTATTTCTGTTGGAAAGTTTTTCAGGCACATTTTATTGACACAGATGATCTTTAAATGAAATTTAATTATTAAAAATCTTTATTATTGTGAAATAAGTACAGTGTATTTATCAACATATGGTGAAGCATGTTGATAACATATTTTATTGGCAATAAATAGCCAGATTATTAAATAAACAAAAGGAATAACAAAAATAAAAGCAAATAGAAAGTAAAAATTGTTCTTGAGATCAATCAATCAGCCATATATTAGGGCATAAACCATTTTCAACATGATACATACATACATTCATACATACATATATGCATACATACATACATGTACATACATACAAACATGCATACACTGTAGGCAGAGAACTTGTTACTTGATGAAGATTTGAACGTAAAAATTGCCGACTTTGGCTTCAGCAACGAGTTCACAGTGGGAACAAAACTGGATACCTTTTGTGGCAGTCCTCCATATGCTGCCCCGGAACTCTTCCAAGGTTGGCTGAATATAAATATATTCTATAAGAGAGAGAGAGAGAGAGAGAGAGAGAGAGAAAGAGAAAAAGAGAGAGAGAGAGAAAGAAAGAGGAGAGAGAGAGAAATGGTTTTTAAAATTATATTCTGTATTTATTTCATCAAAAAAGTTGAAGTTTTTCACATGATTTACCCGGTCAATATAACACAAATATATTTCTGTCAATCCTTATATTTCTTTATGCTTTGAGACTAATAATTATGTATCTGTGATTGATTGATTGATTGATTGATTGATTGATTGATTGATTGATTGATTGATTGATTGATTGATTGATTGATTGATTGATTGATTGATTGATTGATTGATTGAAGGGAAGAAATATGACGGACCAGAGGTTGATGTTTGGAGTCTCGGGGTCATCTTGTACACCCTCGTCAGTGGTTCGCTACCATTCGATGGTCAAAATCTTAAGGTTGGTCTTCTCATAAGAAGGATTATGACGACTATGTGACGTGTAGTATGACGACGATATGACATGGATTATAGCGATGTCTATGTGATAATGATTTTGCGATGATGGTGGGGTCGTGGTAATAATGTATTGATGTTGTGAGTAGTTTGATGATAATGGTGATAATATGGATGATGGCGCAGTGATGATGATATGGACGACATTGTTTTTCCTACTCGTGATGTCACAATGATGGAAAAATTACATGGTGGTGATGAGATTAATGATGACGTCATGACGTCTCTAGGCCACTCATGGCAGGCAGATGATATGCATTTATAATTTTATAGCTGCTATCCTGAAATCAATGAATGATGATTCACTTGAAGATTGTAATTTGTCATTTTAAATGAATCATTTCCTCCTTAATACTATAATTAATATTTTTTATTATGGTTACTTTTTATTTCAGAATAAAATAAGTTTTGTGAAAGCAGATCAAAATTTAAAACCCCAAATTCGATTATATTAGGAACTTCGCGAGCGAGTGCTTCGAGGCAAGTACAGGATTCCATTTTACATGTCAACTGATTGTGAGAACCTTCTCAAAAAGTTTCTGGTCTTGAATCCTCTGAAAAGAACAAGCCTTGATGTGCGTCTGTTGAGTGATTGATTGGCAGATTGATTGATCGATCACGTGTTTGTTTGTGTGTTGGAATGGTTAAATAATTGATTGGTTGAATGATTGATAGGTTGATTGATTGATCGATCGATTGAGTGAGCAAATTGATGGAGGTTATTGTTTTATTAAAAGTTAAAAGGATATTATTGTTTTATTCATTTAATGAAGGATTTACTCATCAACCGGTATGCTTGCTGGCTCTTAAAATTGAAATGGCTGAATGGCTGTTTAACTGATGGCTAATAAATGATATGATTGAATTTAATTGACTAGTTTATAGTGTAAGATGATGTAGAAATAGTTTGTTACTTACTGATTAACCTGAGCAGGCTGTGTTGAAAGATCATTGGTTGAACATTGGATTCGAAGACGACAGGATGAAGCCGTACATGGAGCCAGCGAGTGTCATAGATGAGAGTAGAATAGGCAAGTTGAATTATGTGCTAGGCAAGTTCTGTGGTGTTATGTGATGTTATGTGTTTGCTTGTTCTTCTGATCGAGATGATGACGGTGGTGGTGTTCACTAACTGGTTGATTGATTGTGATGGAGGGATGGTTCAAAAGATAAATGGTGAATAGATTGAGTAATGATTGAATAGTTGGATGGTTGACCGATTGGCCAGTTGATCAGTTGAGTGAGGTCTGCTTGGTTAGCTGGCTGAACATGATAGATCAAGGAATCGATTAATTAATTGATCATCTCTTTGAGTGGATAGTTGAATGAATGATAAAACTTGTGGATAAATGGCTAATTTATAGAAACCTTTTTAATTAAATAAGTTAAAATTATTAATTAATTAATTATATTTTTCCGTTAAAGATCAAATGGTGAGGATGGGTTACAAGAGGAGGGAGGTAGAAGAGGCCTTGGTGCAGAACTCTTACAACCATCTCATGGCTACTTATCTTCTGCTTGGAAAGAAGGTTTGTTGTTACTGCTGATGCTAATGTTTTTGGTGTAGTAGCAGCTGCTGTCGCCACCATCTTCGACTACGTGCAGCTGCCTACAACTACTACTCATCCCTTCCATTCAATAAATGCACTCATAAATTTTTTGAAATCTTGTTCTTGCTGTTAATTGTTAGCAATTATTTTCATTGTGCCCATTAATTAACTGGGAGCAGTACTTGAAAGGAGTATTTGTTTTCTTAAGTTTTCATAATGCATTAGAAAGCATTAAACGCATTGTTTCCATTGATTTACTGTGCTATCTTTGGTTAGTATTTTCACGCTGTGCTTTCTTTTATTCTAATTGGAGATGTTATCGTTATTTCGTCAATGAGATCACCAAATTAATCATCAACATCATCGAGTTGCTACTACTTTCTGCACGTCATCATCGTCGTCCTCATCACCATCATCATCCGCCTTGTCGATTGTGTTCCTCCTCAAAATAGTAATATCACGATAAAAGTCATTGCTAGCTTAACGATGATGATGATGATGACGGTTTATTGGCGGGACTTTTTTGCTTCGACGTTAAGCTTATTTGTTTACAATGTATGATACCTTCGTGTTCTTTCTTTCTTACTTTCTTACTTACTTTCTCACTCACTCACTCACTCATGATTATTTTTCATCAGTTTCTACATACTATAAAGCTGGATTAAGAATTAAAAAATAGTGAGAATGTATGAAAGAAGAGAGAGAGAGAAGAGAATTTCTCGTTTTTCTCAATAATATTCTTAATAAAGAGAATTAGATAACATCGAGGTGATTAATATATAGATTGTTTGATTGATAAAATTTCGATGAATGAATGAATGAACGAACAAACGAACGAACGAATGAATGAATGAACACCGATATCTAATGAAAGATATTTTTGTCAACGTAGATGCAACAAGCGAACCAAACCAGCAAACAAAAATCAATGAACTCTGGCGACTACCTCAGCAGTTACAACAACAACAACCAGAGCAACAACATCAACAACAGCAATAATCATCGTTATAGCAATTCAACAGCCGCAGCGACGACAGCAGCGCCTGTTGCTGCTTCAACAACCACGCCAACTTCATCAAAGGCCACTAAAATTAACAGAAGTGAATCTGGTACATCCAGGGGTAATAACAACAGTTAGTGTTGTTGCTGCTGCTGCTGCTGATGATGATGATGATGCTGATGATGATAAAGAAGATGATGATTGAAATGGTGATGATAATAACATTAGCAATAATGATAAAACCAATGCAAAGGTCATAGACTAGAGTTATTGTGATGATGATGATGAGGTGGTTATAAAGGTGGTTATATCATTGTTGCATAATGCTCGCTCGAGAGTGAAGATCTCTTGAGTAAAAGTTTTTTTCATGTTCATTGCGTCAGGTGTGAAGAATGCATCAAAGAGGGAATCACAGGAAGGAGTGAAATCTCAAAAAGTGAGCCATTCAATCCATTTATAGTTGCTGAAACGTGCTGCATGACTGTGCTGGGCTGGATGGATGGATTGATTTCTTCACATTACTTTATCAGACAATTTATTTTTGCTGTGAGCTGGTTGATCAAAAGTTTTTTTTAACATATTGATTGATTTTCACATTCCCAGTCTCCAACATCTGGTACAGCAGCAGCAGCAACGACAGCCACCACCACTTCAACGACCACAGCAGCTACACACACTTCATCATCATCCACAACTGCCACCATTGATAGATCGAAAAGCTCAATCAACCCTGCACATAAACCCGCCTCCGTGTCAGTTCTCATTCATGAGTCATTCATTATGTCTTTTTTTATTTAGTTAAAATCTAATTTTTGATAAGTGACGTTGGGGACATTTTTTTTTAAATTTTGGTAATGCGCCCGTTAAATAGTTCGCACGTCGTGATTGATGCATCACGTGATGTTATGATTGATTGATTGGTTGGTTGGTTGGTTGATTGGTTGGCTGGTTGATTGATTGATTGATTGATTGATGTCTGATTGATGAATGATTGATGAATAATTGATGAATGATTGATGAATGATTGATTACTCGTTGTTCATCGCAGAAATGACCAACTGCTGACTGCAAACAGAGCTTCAACGCCGGCAACGCAACTAAACGTCGTCGCTAACAACTTGAAGTCCAACAAGTGAGATTGTTTATATTCGCTCTACCTGTATCTGTACATGTTTGTTTGCGCGCGCTGGTGTGTGAGTAAGTGTGTTTTTGTGTGTGTGTGTGAGTGTGTTGTCATTTCGACATCTTCTTCCTCATTCTCCAGATTTTCACGAGGGGGCGTGCAGTTGGTACAGAAGCTGGCACCAGGCGATGATGGCTCCCTCTCTCTCATGGACGCCTCCATCACCGAAGAAGCAGACGAGTTTGTGGGCGGGACCTTAACTCGTCCGACGATCACCAGGACCAATAGGAAATCGTTTTTTGATCGCCTGTCCATGAAATTTCAGAGAAAGTATGTTTACCCTTTTTAAGACATTTCAGTTTATTAGTTCTTTGGAAGCCGGTTGTGCGAAGTGTTTCTGTTACTTCTGTCTCATTTCGTGATAATTTCAATAAGATATCGCGCAATCAGTAGTAGCATGTTGAACTCGTTGAAACTCTGAACCAATGAACCCTACAGTCGGGACGGGCGCCAGTCAGAAGGACTTGTTGCCAGCAAGAAGGGCAAGGCAGTCCACAAGCAGCAACAACAACTTAGCAACAACAACAATTTTATTGAGTTCTCGCAGCAACAACATTTCAACAAATCGAATGATACGACACCGACATCAACGATAACTTCAAAACTCAACAAAATTAACAGCGATATCAAACAACAACCAGCAACTGCTTCAACGACCACCACTCCGAACTCCATCACGACGACGACGTCCACCTCGACAACGACGACTCCCGAACCAAACCCAGCCTCATCGGTGAAGCCTCGAGCCCTCCACTTCACCTGGCACATGAAGAACACCAGCTCTGCAGATCCTCTAAAAATGATCATCGAAGCCAGGAGAGTCCTAGATCTGAACCAGTGCGACTTCTACCAGCTGAATCCTTTCGTCGTACACTGCTCGCACGGTGGCGCCAACGACGACGTGAAGAGCGACTGTAGCAGCCACGTGGAGTGGGTCATGGAAGTGTGTCGTCTGCCGAGGTTGTCCGTCAATGGCATCAAATTTAAAAGAATATCGGGATCCCCTCTCATATACAAGAACATAGCTGCTAAGATATCAAACGAGCTCAAGTTTTAAGTTCATAGTTGATGGTTGTTGTTGTTGTTTTTCCTCTAGCTAATTCGTAGCATTTGTCCGTCCATTTTTGGGACATTTGTATTATATATACACGTGTTTGTGTGTACGTGAGCGTCTGTGTATACGTGTGCGTGCGTTCGTGTCATTATTTATTATTAGCATATTTTTTGTCATGAGTTTTTGTTGATGTGCGTCGTAATTAATTAATGATACTTATTATTATTAAAGATTAATTATAAATAGATACAAATTATTATTATTTTAGTTAATTCCTCGGTATATTATTGTTGTTTGGCATGTGCATTGAATTATTTTGATCATGTTCTGGCTTCAACATAGCCACCATACTCGCCTTCTTCAAATTATTAATTTTTTTTTCAAATTTTTCAAATTGACGGATATTTCTGGAACGTTGAAAATTTTCTTCATCGTGATTGTGATGTCATTCATTCACCACTCGCTCATGTCTTATATTACTTAAACAACCTTAATCGTCATTCTCATGTTGTGATCATCATCTTCATCATCTTCATCAACACCGGGTGCGATGACGAAGATGACTGCATTCACATTGTAACATTTTTACTACCCTTCGGACATCATAAGATGTTGATAACATTATCTTTGATTGGCATTTTAATATTCATTTCTTTTATGTTTAAATCATTGCCATCAATCATACTTTGTTTATCATCATCTTAATTATCATAATTTATATATATAAATATATATATATATATATATTCAACTTTAATTTTATATATATATATATATATGTATATATATTATATACTTACAATTTCGGCTTTAATTTTGAAGGACATTTATTTTATTTAATCATATATTTACGTTTTATAATTAATTAGTTGAGAAATGACGAGAATAATGATAATGATAATAAATAATATTAGTAATTTCGTTGTATTTATTGTAAATTGAATACACATACAAACACGCAGACACACACCACACACACCACACACACACACACACACACTTATATATATATATATATATATATATATATATATATATCAATCTTCGTTTGAATATATATATATATATATATATATATATATATATATATATATATATATTATTTACTTAGTTTTTATGGTTCATTTCTATTTTTCTTAAATTGATGATATCAAATTATGTCGAGTCTGACTGAGACACTATTCTTTCTTCTAGTATTGTGATAACAATAACAACACTAACAACCACACATATATACATTTGTTGATGATACCTTCAGGGATGATGATGATGATGATTATGTTTTATATTGTGGTGACGATGATGAAGAAGATGATGGTGGTGGTGATGAGAATGGTTTCGTTTTTTCTTCTATTTATTCGCAATTTTATGATGATAATAATAATTTAAGCATTGATGATCTATGCTGTTGTTGTTGTGATGTCGGTAGTTAGGCTGGTTGAACTCACAGTCTTAGCCAGTGTTAGGTGAGTATATGATAATAGTAATAGTAATAATAATAATAATAATAATAATAATAGTAATAATGAAGTTAATGATGATAGTAAATGATATTGTCTTAATTGACCTTCAGTTAATTTGCAGATTAAGGTTTATAAATGGTGATTATGTGTCCAATCTACTGACCAACGAACCAGCTGGTCGAATGAATGAATGAATGAATGGATGAATGAATGAATGGATGAATGAATGAATAATAATTGACTGATCGATTGGGTAAATAAATGTGTAAATGAATGAATGAAGAAACGAGTGAATGAACAAATGAATGAATAAATGAACACTTATATTTGTCTTTTCCTTTCGCTTTAGATAACTTAATTTAGTAATCTTATCAGACTAATAAATGCATGTGTGCGATGTGCATCGTCCTATGCTTTGTTGAATTTTCTCAGGGTTCACTGAACTGTAGACAATGGTCACAAAGATATTTATTATAAATATCTATAGTAATTAAATCGCGTTAATCATAGTAATGTTCGCAATAAAGAGTGTGACAGCTTCGATCCATAATGATGACGATGACACTGATAAAAAAATCTGGTTTTGTTTTTTTTTCTGGTGCTTCGGCTGATGATGATGATGATGGTGGTGATTTTCAACGTACAGATGATAATGATGATGATAATGATCTTCATTGTGCTTTCGACCATTATCGTAGCTGTAATTTAGTGCCACACATACACACACGCACATTGAAACATATATACACGTACATACATGCATACACACGCATACATGCACAAAAGTATGTTGACGAACGAATAAATGTGTACACATTATATGTACATTCAAACAATTTCGTAGATGTACAAATATCTATATACGTACGTGTACATTTGCATTGCTCGAACGTACTAATGGGTATGCGTATAGACAAACAAACACACACACACATATTTTATGTTTTTGTCTTCTAATCACATTTTTAACGAATGTGACATTCATTATATATTGTATGTGTGTGTGTGTGTGTGTGCGTGTGTGTGTGTGTGTGTGTGTGTGTGTGTGTGTGTGTGTGTGTGTGTGTGTGTGTGTGTAAATATATAATGCATGTATCTTATAGGCGAGGAACACGCAAAAGAGTGAAACACGATTACAACATGGAATGATGGTTGAACAACTTTTAATCATAAGTTACCTTTTACTTCACAAAAACATTTTTTAATTTAATTTTTTTGTTGTATCTTAGCAATGAAAGTTTTTTTTTAATTTTTTATGCTTTCTTTTTAAATATGATTTTTATAAAATTAATAAATTATTCTATTGTTATCTCATTCAACAAATAAATTTCAAACTAAAGAAATTACTTACCGACTTAAAGCTAGATAGTCAACTGACTAAATAATTACAATTCATAATTTATGATAATAATTTCTGCAAATGCTATCTATTGAATATTAGTAACATTCGGATATTTGGTAAAAAAATTATGAATTGGTGGTTGTGCGTAATTATAAATAAATAAATAATCGATTTAATGAATCACTGAAACGTAAATCGCATAAAGAAGTGCGTGCTACTAAAGAAACACTGATTTCCGTTCGACATTTGCGTCTTTTTATTTTACGTCGTTTCGTTTGTGGCTGGTAGGTACTTTTACTCTGTTATTAATTCAATTGAAGCTAGGCTCATAGGGGCGCCTACTATGAGTTTAGAGATGCGAAAGTGGGCAAAATTACCTAAGTTGGTTTTTTTTCCGTGAGTGTTTGTTTTGTGCTTGCTTGTCCGTGAGTGCTTGACATTTCTGAGTGAAAGAGGATGTAGTAATTGAAATTAACAGAAATTATAATTGTCAATGAACACATTACGGGTACAAAGTTTACATAGCGAACGTTCACTGACAGTACTTCGTTCGTTACATCTCTTAGTACTGTCAATGTCATTAAGTTACAACAATTGTAATAATGTAATACTAAGAACGATATCTCTAAAAACGGTTGAATCCTTTTTGGCAGTATTTTCCCACCTTGTTACATGAATATCATTCATTTCCACGAAAAGAAAAATTATGTCCAGATGTCACCGTTCAAGATTTTTTTCGTTTGTCACCTCACCCTGTCGATATTTATTTATATTGTTTCAATTATTTTAAAAATTATTATTAATAACGATAATAAAAAATTTTACAAATTTTTTTTCATCATGAGTGTTTCTAAAACATTGGTGTATTCGTTACTGTTTCTGTCGATTTGTTTATTGTTTAGTCACAACACAGTTTCATCGAAGTGAACTCCTTTAATTTAGTCTTTAAATTTCCTAACGAGCTTGTGTATTAATTTTCTAAATGAACTTATCAATTTTATGAATTTAATGACTCTGTCGCTTGTATCTGTCGTCACAATCACAAGATGCATCTGCAAATCTCTCATTTTATTTTCTCTTTCTGAGCTAATTGCTGTCATGCTGGGTATAACTTGTTTGTTGAACAAACTTATTTTATTTTCCTTTGCGGTTTATATTTCAGTGTTCATTCGTTTCACATTTTATTGTAAATTTTTTTATATTAAAATTTAAATCCTTATTCTAATGGTCCGTACCATTGACGATTTATTTTTCCTATTAAAATATTGAATAATAAATTTATGTTCTTATTTGATCAATAGTTATTGGGCTGCCCAGATGACTCAAAGTAATCCTGCTAATTTGATTTTAATTTTTCAATAATTTTAGAGAAAAATAATTATTGGTTTAATAAAAATTCAGTTTGAAACTGTGGAAATTTGAAAAAGAGCAACATTATGATGGGAGCAAGAAGCTGCAAACAATTTTGCGTGAAATCGAGAAACAGTGGTGGCGATGTGAAGTCTGCCAACAATTCAAACGATAGCTCGGCTTGCAAGAAGAAAAGCAACTTCCATATAGACAAGAGCGTTTTATTAAATAGCAGCGACAACGGGGTTAGGAAGCAGGGAAAACGATCAAATTCTGCCAGTAGAAACGATAACAATGTAACCCCATTGACCGACAGCAAACAGCAGCAGCAACAAGTTGAGAAGAAAATAAAATTTAACAATTTCAAATTGTTCAAGAAGACGAAAGAGCGGGTTGAGGCTGATGTTTGTACCATCGATGAAATTCAAAATGATGTTGGCAGGCACATCAGCGACTTTTCTGAAATGGTTTCCAACTGGAGTAACGATGTAATTTAAACAACTTTTTTTATATAATAGTTTTTTTTAGTATTTATGATAATTGTTTATTTCGAACATTTCGTATTACAAAATGTTCATCATAAGCTTAATTTACTTGACGAATGAAAACCAGGACCTGATAATTTTGAACGAGGAGTACAAAGCACTGACCTGCTTGTACACTCTCTGGAAGAAATCCTTCACAGCCAGGCCCAAGACATCAACTCTGGCAGAGGATTTGCTCAACGTTTTGAGGGATGAAAAATGTTGTGACGTGTTCCTCTTGTACCAGAACGAAGTGTACCCGGCGCATAGAAGTATTTTGAAAGCTAGAAGTCCGTATTTGGGAAGACTCGTGGATTTCAATGC